CGTGTCTGTGTGTGTGTGCGCGCGCGCGCGCGCGCGTGTGGCGGAGATGGGCGGCTACTCCATCTTTGCAAGGCGAACAAAGGAAGTGCTGACTGGCCCCTGGGGCTCCGCCGCCGACCTGGGCAGGGTGTCACCTGCCCGGCGTCTGCTCTGGGGTTCGGGTCCGGGGCGGGCGTGGCTCTGCTGCGCGTGTTCCTCGTTTTGGGAACGCCCCTGCGCGTGCAGTGGCGATGCGGGACCTTCCCCTCCGCGGCAGCGGGAAGCCTCGGGCCCGGTGCACTTCATTGTCAAGTGGTTTGTCTCCATCGCAGCATCGCCCTTTTTCATGCCCCCGAGCCACCTTTTACACATGTACTCTACCCCTCCCAGCTGTGCAGCTGATGCTGGGGAGACACGCCCCCGAGAAGAGCTGAAGGGTGGGGGCCGTTTTGCCGGGTGGAGGCTTTGGGTTTAAACCACTCCCCCTTTACCGCTCTCTGGCATTGTTTGCTTTCCATTATTGAAGAAACAGAGCAGCCAGTCTTTTCTCACTGCCAATTGTCTTTGCAAAGAACTGTAAAAGGTAACATCAAAATATAAGATAAAATGAAACGCTGATTGGGACAAAAGCTCAGTTTTTATACTCGTCTCTAACGCAGGAGATTGAACTGCAGCTCATGCTGTTAGATGCTGTAGGCTCGCCGCAGGTGTACGGCTCTTGCTGGGCACCCAGTATGCATTTGCCAGTGTGCCCGTTTGGGACAGGCAGAGAACGGGAATTTTTCCTCATACACTGCAGTGGTTCTTATGGACATGGCATTGAGGGCCACGCCCATTCCTCTAGCATCAGTTAAGCCACCTTTAAGGAAAGGTATAACTTGCCTTAGAAGTCGCAGCAAATGTGGATGTGCCCTAACCCCGGGGTGGGGTTTGCAGCGGGTTCCCTTTTGTTCCGTGAACAGTCTTCCTTGGATACATTGTTTTTCTCAGGGCTCCATTCTTTCTCTCCGTGCAGGGCGTGGTTCTGTACAGCAGCCTCTGCCTGAGCTGTGCTATGTCTTCAGCAGCTGCAACAGGAATGGATAGTGGCTGTGGGTTTCTCCAAGCCAGGCAGCCTTGCATTCATTGTCAAAACCATGGGGATACAAAAAAGCGGTCTGGCAGGAGGGGGTATTGGTCTTTGAGGATAAGGAATCCATTTGCAGATTTTTCTCATGCTTTGTGCTTGTATCTCCATGAACAAGGAATCTGTCTTAGAATAAGATACTTTTGTATGTTTTCACGTCAGTAGAAGATTGGTTATCTGTGTACTACTGAGACTGAGGTCCCCTTCCTAGTATAGTTATAAATGTAAAAATGTGGACGCAAATAGACGTATACAGAAAATATGATTAAAGATCTAAATAGAACATGTATCGCCTGCTTTTAATTCTAGTGCATTTTAAGAATGATAATATTATGGAATTTGAAAGGAATTCCCTGTGCCCTCCTTGTTCCTTTCTGTGAAGGCACCCCACCAATGGCTGTGCTATCACTGCAATCTGAGGACTGATGGGCGTGGTCTTTCTTGGCCGTATACTCTTTGCCTTTCTGGGTACTACCCTCTGCCACCATTTTGGAGCCAGAGTAGGGCTTGGGTTTGTTCCTTTTTTTTGTTCCTCCTATTCTTGTAGCCCTTCTGAGATTAAGGCATTCTTACTATCCTGTTTTTATTGGTTTCCTTGGGGGTGGGTGGGGTGTCTCTGTTGCCTGTGGAATTGGCTGGGCCTTTCCCTGTGAGTGACTCGTCAGATCTTCGTGGTTCCCTTGTTCCCTTTGGGTGCTCAGTGTGGATCTGCCTTGACACAAGCCCTTGCTTCTGGGTGCCCGAGACTAGCCGTTTTGGGGATTTAACAGAGAGAAAGGGTTCTTGTGTCTTCACTGTCTAGCATAATGCCTGGCACATAGATATTTTGTGATTATCAGTTAAATGAATGAATGGATTAAAAATTGTTCCTTATAACAAATGACTGTTGAGTGTTTATTTTGTGTAGGGTATTATGCTTTCTGCCTTACATGCATGGTCTCATTTAATCCCTGAATCAATCAGTATTGTCTGGGAGGTATGATAATTATTCTTCTTTTATAGGTTAAAAAAAACCTTAGAACATCAAAAGTCATTTACTCAGGGTCAGAGATGTAACAAGTGTTAGAGGCAGGACTCAAACATATGCACCTGACTAAAATAAAAATGCACGTCCCTCAGGTCACACTCCTTCAGGTGCCCCTGCTGCTCCTGTCACTGCTGCTTGGCGTTGGGAAGCATAGTTCATAGACTGTCTCCACTGCTAGCAAAGCCTGCCTTGTCACTGGCAACAAGTCTCGTCACGTGGTCTCTCTTGCCTTTTATATTATGTACATAGCAGGAAAAACTTTTTGGAATAGCAGTCACCATATCAATTTGGCAGGTAGAGTATTTGATAAGTTACAGTTGTTGTTATCCTCTGATACAAGCTACATCGTGAAGCTGACCCCAGGAGTGGGGGCTGCCCTAACACTTAGGCACCTGGGTTCCAGTGCTTTACATGTATTTTTTATTAGAATTTCCACAGTGACAATTTCCCAGTTAAGAAAACTGAAACACAGGTAGGTGAAGTCTTTTATCTATAGTTTCATGGTGAGAATTTTAGGGCAGAGCTGGAAATCAAACCCAACTCGTGTCTGCTTTCAAAGCTGAAGCTTCCCTGGTACTGCGGCCATTGCCCAGAGGCACATGCAACTGAGGTTTCAAAAGGTATGGATAAAGAGCTCTAGAATTCCTTCGGAGAGAAACTGCAGAGAGCTGGCTTTTTGCAACTACCAGTTGCATTTCTGTAAGCACTGTCTTGCAGATAATGCATTTGTGTTGCATTAGAAGTTTGGGAACGGCTGGAGACACATCTCGGTTTTGAACATGACCTGGGAAGCTCAGCCCTCTGTGACTTCATTTGAGAGGGCATGGCTGTGAGTGTGATGGATGTCATGGAAATTTTTTTCTGTTTTGAAGAAGTGGAGGGGCCATATGAGCTAGAGGAACACCCAGGTATCTGCAGTAGTTGAGTGGGGGCCCTGGGACGAGAGGCGACCCTGAGGAAGGGACAAGTTCAACCCTGCCCTGATCTATGGATTCCTCTGGCTTTAGCAAGTACCATTGAAGAAAGAAAGGAAAATATTAGGAGATGGGGGACTGGAGTTTGGGAAACCAAAAGAAGAGAGTCACCCCAATCAACTCTGCCTGTGCCAGGTGCCTTGAAAGGGAAATTCCAGTGTTAAAGACAAAAGAAAAATATCAGACACTTAGGAATGGAAAGCATCTTGGATATCTGATCACGGAATCTCAGCCCAGGCCCTGCCCGGGGTGTGCATTTGTTGCCTTCAATGTCGAGCGGGTGTGTGGTGATTCTTGGCCAGTTTATTCCTTTTCCTCCAATACTCATAAAATGCCTCAGGTATCTAAAGAGTTTGAATATTAGTCGCTGTGACAGAGCTAGCTGGCCATTGGGGGAAGTTCTGCAGAAAAAGATTTCCCAAGTGAATCTGAGTCTATGTGGCAGAACCACCAGTTTATAAGTAAAAGTCCCCCTGCTTATCGCACCAGGCTGTCGAGAGGCCCACAAGAGGAGAG